CAATAAATAAAAAAATAAAAATTAAAAATTCAGCTCAGCCTTTTTTTTGTTGCAGTCAAGATGACTTTCAAATTTTTAGCAGTGTTATTCACGTGCATGCTGGCCACTGTAGCCAATGCCGTCCCCGGCGCAGTTGAAGGCAAAACGACCCCAAGCGTTGACAGCTCTACCAATGAACTTCCTGAATCCCTGACGATCCCACGGGCTGACAGCTCTACCAAATGGCGGATGTACTCTACAATATCATTGTTGTCAAATACTACAACAGCGTGGTTTCCCAAGCCTTAAGCAGTCTGAGTTATGGTCGATCAGATGTCATCAAATCAGCTATCGAAATGTTAATTAAATACAAGAGAACAAACGTTGCTAGTAGCTTCCAAGCTGACGGCTGCTGGAAAAAATATTGTAAGGTCAGAGTTTCCCACCTCGTACAGAATGGTGCTAAACGATACTTTTATAAAATTCATCAACTACCAAGATCGTGTTTCCTTTCAGTTAGGTCCAACTCTAGACTTTGCCAATGACAAGAGGCTCTATGGCAACCACCGACAACCGTATAGCCAGAATTACCATTGTAAGATCGAGCCTGTCATGGGTGGTAGAAAGATTTATTTCAAGATAGGTCATCACCTAGAAAATAGGTACTTGAAGCTGGGCAACTACATGGACCGCGACTGAATCGTGCGCATTTCCAAGCTCGGTAGAGGCGTATATGAAGGTAATCGCGGCGTTTACGGTCAAGGTGGAAACTTTGCCGCCCACCCTGAACTTAACGGCCAGACTACCCAAGTTTCCAGAGACAGTTCCAATTTTGTAATTATCAGGGACTAGAAATCCACATTCGAAATTAACAAATATTTGATTACGCATACAAACTTACAGCTTCCAGGGGTAAATTTATTGTCCGAGCACTCTTCCTTTCTGCGGTCCGACTGCACGAAGATCTGTTCTTCGTTAAAATAATCAGTTATAAGTACGACTTTGCTCTTAACTACGATCTCGGCAAGGATTTCGAAGGAGACAGAACGGCCTACGGCGATTCTGATACCAGGACCAGGTTTAGAGTTACGTGGAAGTTTGTCTCTTACTGGACAGAAGATAAGGTATACTTCGAGATTCGTCTTATAGATATTGCATACTTCTTGAACCTTGGGAATACGAGAGACAGAGACGGTGAACACGGAGCTTATGGATCTACTAACCACGACACAGACAGGCACTTGTGGTACGTGGAACCAGTCAGACTTAAAGGCAAACTCCTGTTCTACATCATCAACAAGGAGTACAACGAACTTCTGAAACTCGGCCAGTCAACGGACAGCGATGATGATCGTACAGCCTATGAACAATCCACCAGGGACTTTAATTCGGAAAAATTCGCTTGGTACATTGACCAGATTTAGATCTATGTCCGTAAAAATAAATCTAAATTTAAAAACACAATATGTTTTAATTTATCTAACATTAAAATAAATTTGAATAATCACAGAAATTTAATTTCCGTAAAATCTAACTCGCACAGACTAATTTATTTTTAAATAAAATCATTTTATTTTCACAATTCAGTGCCGGCCATGCATAAATAACATTTTAAATGGCCAGTATTGTGAAACGGTAACATTATATATATAGGTAATAATACTTCATAACCAACTAGTTCTCTCCATGTCAACTCAGCAAATAGCAAATAATGGAAAACATCCAATTAGCAATTAATAGTTACGTAATGTGTTATTCAAAGTTATATCATATTTGAATACAATTAGTATTATCAATTCCTTTGCCATGTTTACTAGTTATTTTTGAAAGATTTAGTATTTTAGCAAGTTTGTGTGTTTGTCTGTGCACTTGCGTACAAGCATCCTCACTTTTACACTGCTAAACTTATCACAAATTATCTACCGTTTCCAGTAAGTCGTCCAATGACTGAAGAGAGATATCTGGTGTTGGAAACTAATCATACTTTTCGGAACGCCGTCTTCAATATGTTTGAAGTGAAACTTCTATAAGCGCGTTGAAAATAAAATTAAACTCGCGACAGATTCGTTACAGCTACAGAGAAAAGATACAACTTAGGACGAGCAAGAGTGAGAAAATAGACAAAACGTCTCATAAGTCACTCGATCGTGGAGAGAGGGAGAAAGCGAGCTAGGTCGAGGATGAAAAATGAAGAAAACCACAATACTACACATCGCAAAAGAAGTTTCACTTTTTTCACGTGCACCAAGTTGCACGCGCACCATTTTTTTTAAATAAACATATTATTATGCATATAGATTTTTTATCCCGCCGGAGTACGCGTCCGAAGCTGAAGGTTCTTTTTTGATTCACAGGTACAGTTGACGTAAGCGGGATTATTTGGGCAAAGACACTTATTTTTCCTACTTAGGTACATTACAAAAGGATTATAAAAGGCAGTCAGATAATAAAATAAATCATTTCTAATGCTGTAAAAGGTCTCGTAACTACCAAAGGCTGTAAATAATATGCTAAACCAAACTAATTCGGGCAGTTGACAACGAATTGTGATTAAAAGCTAAAACTCGGAGCAGTCTTCAAATCAATACAATTCAGACGTTTCCACGGGCAGCTAATAGTATATAATATTATAAATAAAACGGCGGCCTTTAGCTTTGCTTTCGATAATAATTAATTATTATTTATTTAAGCGATATAGAAAACGAGATCGATCGGAGTTTGTTTATCATTCCCGTTTCAATCGTAACATAAGCAGGTCAGTTGTTGATTTCAGTATTTTCAATATGTTTACATACGTATATCTAAACAGAGCATCATATTTTAAAAAACAAATCAATATTTCATAGAGTATTCTTTTTTGTTGTAATTGGATAATCGACGACTATGAGTATTTTTTATTTTGAGAGATTTTAGAGATTTTGTTGGCATTAAGGGGTGTTGTGTTTTGGTATTCAAACGGTGATATCATCATGCTATTCTGTTTTCAAGTTCACAAGCTTTTTTTATAATTGCTTAGATGGGTTGGCAAGCTCCTGGCCCACTTGATCTTAAGTAGTTACCGGAGCCCATAGACATACATGTACAACGTAAATGCCGCCACTAACCTTGAGATGTGAGTTCTAAGGTCTCAGTTTATACCGTACAACGGTTACCCCACCCTTCAAACCGTAATGCATAACTACTTCACGGCAGTAATAGGCAGGGTTGTAGTATCTACCCGTGCGGACTCACTAGACGTCCTACCACGAGAAAAAAGAAGCAAAGAATAAAATTTCCTACGAATTGAAGCGAGCGCTGGTTCAGATTCACAAATAAATTGATTAGAAATATAACTTAGTTTATATTATATTATATTTATGCGTTTATGTAAATTATTTCATTTTAACATCGCACCGCCCGTCACCGGAGCAAAGCTTAGCCAGCCCACCTTGGAGCACACACAATGTGATCTCGCCTTGTCACGGCAGTGGGGCTTAAGCGTGCACCCCGAGTTCTTTGAGCCGGCTGCTCCTGAATATCGAAGGGCCAGATCAGGTTGTGCGCCGTCTCTATGCGAGGGTGGTGCGATTGATGGTCCTGTACGGTACGCCTGTATGGGCTGAGCCGCGCAACCGGGCCCCTATGGCTCGGTTACTGCGCCGGCCGCAGCGCACCGTTGCTATCAGGGTCATCCGTGGATATCGCACCGTCTCAATCGGGATGGCGAGTGTGTTGGCAAGGACGCCACCGTGGGAGCTAGGGGCGGAATCACTCGCTACCAATTATCGCTGGTGTAGTGAGCTTCGTGCTCTGGGGGTGGCCCTTCACCCAATAGTAAGCTGCGGGCGCGAAAGGCCAATTCTCGGCGGTCCGTGCTCGAGTCGTGGTTGAGGCGATTGGCCAACCCCACAGGGGATCTACGGACCGTCGAGGCGTTTTACCCGATCTTTGATGACTGAGTGAATCGTGACGGAGGACGCCTCATCTTCCGTCTGGTGCAGGTGCTAACTAGGCTCTCCTCACTATGCAGAAATCCGCCGCCGCCAAGCAGAAGGTCGGGACCAGGGTCTAGTCCATGACCCAGCCCCCTAAGAGCTTCGGGCTCCACCCGCTTTGTGCGGGGAGGGACCTAGGCGTGGGGCAGCGTGCTCGGCACGCCCGCCCGTAATACGGAACCTATCGATGGTAGACCGTGTTCCCCGACCGCTCCGGGGGAAGGCGTAGCGCGGCGCCATCAATGCGGGCTCCTGACCCATCGACCAAGGGAACCGGCGGTCCGGCGTCTGGGGGACGGCGGGATGGATGTAAAATGCTCTACGTTAACCCTGTCCCGCCGTCTCAATAGCGCCGACTGGGCTCCGGCCCGGTCAAGGGTAGGGCACCAGCTGTGAATGGCAGGATTTTTTAGTGAGGTTTAACTCCTACATACCCCACCCACCGTTCAGGGCGGGTCCGGCGATTTCCTCCTGAGGAAAAAAAGCCCAACTAGAAATACTGCGTTTGTCTACGGTTCGGTTTTCGAGATCTTTTTCGCTACGCACAGTTCACGTCTGGAACGAACATCCCTCTCCACGGCGTTTTACGAATACTATGACGTGTCTTTCTTTAATCGAGGCTTGAAAACAGTCCATGCGGTAAACAGATGATCAGCTATGCCCGCTGATATTACTGACGTCCATTAGTTTCGGTAACCAGACATCTTCAGGTTTACCCAGACACCTTCTTGGCCATTTACTCGTTCTACCCTCTGACGATATAAAAAGGTTTAAACAGAATTGCTTTTGCTGTAAATAGATGTCGGTGCCGGTCACCAGAGCCCATAGACAGCACGACGACAGGCCAAAAATTTAACTAGGACTCGGTTCTCGTGGCTGCTTCGCGTCTAGTGTATATAGTACAAATTCTAATTAAACGTGTATTAATAAAATTAGAAGGTTTAATATAATAGTTTCATGTAATCGTTCTAAATGATTTTTTTTAAATCAAGTATACTTGTAAGATCCAGGAGTATTGCAATAGAAAATTTTATTTACGTTACAGATATGGAGCTCAAAGAAGTTGTGCTATTAATGTGTGTACTGGCTGTCAGTGCCAATAGCATTGTTAATAAGGAAGCCGCTGACAACATTGCAGCCGTTGAGACAGTGAATTCGACCAGCATCATCAGCACCGTAGACTCAGTAAGCACTGAAGCAACCGTGACCCTGGACAACGTCACCAGCACTCAGTCACCTCCCATGAGCGTCGTCAGTAAGCAACTCGAAAATAAACTCTACAATTTTATCGTGGCAAGGAAATTTGATGAAGCTGTCGAGAACACCATTTCTTTGTATGGCGCAGGCGGGTGCAATATCATCGAACGGGTCATAGAACGGTTGTTCGACGAGGGTCAATCTATAGTATTTGATTACTCCTATAAATTCTCAATCTCCAGAGCCGCGTACATCGTAAGTAGGTGTTTCCCTGCGGTTATTCGAATCCACGAAAGCTTGGTATTCGCGAAATTGATTAACAAGAGGGACGGGTACGCTCTTACGTACAGTAACCGGGTAGAATCCGATGGTGACCGAAGAGCTTTAGGCGATCACAACACCAAAACCAGGATAGGTATTGAGTGGTCGTTAGTCGCACATTGGTCAGGAGACAGGCTTTATTACAAGATGCGTCCTCTAAGAATAGCTATGTTCTTAAAATTAGGAAACAGTACAGACGAAGACGGTGACCATACCGCTTATATATCTCACGACGACAGCACGAACAGGCACTTGTGGACCATACAACCGGTGAGGCACAATGGCGAGCTCCTGTTCTACATCATCAACCGGGAGTTCGACAAGCTTCTTAAATTCGGTCAATCAACCGAACACGACGGATACCGCATTGCTTATGGCCACTCGACGAAGGACTTCAACCCGGATATGTTCTCGTGGTACATTAAAGTTATGTAATACTATATTGTTTTTTAATAAAGGTAATTTTTAATAATAATACATAATGTCCGTTGGACACTTACACAAAGTAGGTATGGAGCCAAATGCAATTTTCAAAACTCTCCAACGCATGGTATTAGTAAAATGTTTGTGTACCGGGCTATTAATAGGTGCAATGAGACCTCCTCTGCTTGTGACAGAAAAAGATCTGGCCGTCCACGTAGTGTTCGTACGAAAAAGGTGGTCAAAGCAGTAAGGGATAGAATTCGAAGAAATCCTGTCCGAAAGTACCAGATTTTATCTCGGGAGATGAAGATAGCACCTAGAACCATGTCGCGTATTTTAAAAGATAACTTAGGACTTGCAGCCTATAAGAGACGTACTGGTCATTTCTTAACTGATAATTTAAAAGAGAATAGGGTGGTAAAATCATAACAACTACTGAAGCGGTACGCAAAGGGAGGTCATAGAAAATTTTTCTTAACGGATTAGAATTTTTTTACAATCGAGCAACATTTTAACAAACAAAATGATCGTATTTATGCTCAAAGCTCTAAGGAAGCTTTCCAATCAGTCGACAGAGTGCAACGTGGGCACTATCCGACTTCAGTGATGGTTTGGTGGGGTATTAGCTATGAAGGGGTGACTGAGCCATACTTTTGTGAAAAAGGTATCAAAACATCGGCACAAGTGTATCAAGATACCATTCTTGAGAAGGTAGTGAAGCCCTTTAACAACACCATGTTCAATAATCAAGAATGGTCCTTCCAGCAAGACTCGGCGCCAGGTCATAAAGCTCGGTCTACGCAGTCTTGGTTGGAAACGAACGTTTCGGACTTCATCAGAGCTGAAGACTGGCCGTCGTCTAGTCCCGGTCATAATCCGCTGGATTATGATTTATGGTCAGTTTTAGAGAGTACGGCTTGCTCTAAACGCCATGATAATTTGGAGTCCCTAAAACAATCCGCACGATTGGTAGTGAAGAATTTTCCCATGGAAAGAGTGCGTGCTTCTATTGATAACTGNGCTGGATTATGATTTATGGTCAGTTTTAGAGAGTACGGCTTGCTCTAAACGCCATGATAATTTGGAGTCCCTAAAACAATCCGCACGATTGGTAGTGAAGAATTTTCCCATGGAAAGAGTGCGTGCTTCTATTGATAACTGGCCTCAACGTTTAAAAGACAGTATTGCAGCCAATGGAGACCACTTCGAATAAGCTTTTACTGGTGGTAGGACCTCTTGTGAGTCCGCACGGGTAGGTACCACCGCCCCGCCTATTTCTGCCGGGAAGCAGTAATGCGTTTCGGTTTGAAGGGTGGGGCAGCCGTTGTGACTATTTTGAGACCTTAGAACTATATCTCAAGGTGTGTGGCGCATTTACGTTGTAGGTGTCTATGGGCTCCAGTAACTACTTAACACCAGGTGGGCTGTGAGCTCGTCCACACATCTAAGCAATAAAAAAAAAAAAAAAAAAAAGCTTTTTATACTTTAAATTGTTTTATATTTATGTATTAAACTAACACACTGTAAAAGTAATAAATGTTATTTGCAATAGATTTTTTTTCCTTTGTCTCAGTATTTATGGCAAGACTAGGTATAAGGAACAGGTATTTCCTGACAGCTGGAGAGAAGCTTTAGTAGTTCCAATATTAAAACCAGGAAAAATATCAATTTTACAAACTAGTTATAAGCCCATATCCCTAACCTGTAATCTATGCAAAATACTTGAAAAAATAATAAGTAAAAGAATCAGATGGTGTGTAAAATCGAATAAGTCTTTTTCACCATTTCAGTATGGATTTCGTCAATTTCGATCAACAGTGGACCATTTAATGAATATTGAAAGCGAAGTACTTGATAGCCTTGCAAATAATAATTATATTGTTGTAGTAGCATTAGATATTGAGAAAGCTTATGAAATGGTTTGGAAACAGAGTTTTAAAAGCATTACAAGACATTGACATTAACGGAAATGCCCTAGCCTTCGTCAGATCGGTGAGATCCTGCATCGGATCGGAGCCGAGCCGACGGCAGAGTGCCACCATTGTGGTTGCGACTTGGACACGGCAGAGTACACGCTCGTTGCCTGCCCGCATGGGAGGGGTGGCGCCGTGTCCTCGTCGCAAAAATAGGAAACGACTTGTCGTTGCCGAGTGTTGTGGCATCGATGCTCGGCGACGACGAGTCGTGGAAGGCGATGCTCGACTTCTGCGATATATAGTATATCGCGCTTTAATAAGACAAAAAATTGATTATGGCTCTGTGATTTATGATTCTGCAAAAAAAATGTTCACTTGATGCCTTGGAAACATCAAAACACCGCTCTTCGATTGAGTATTGGTGCGTGCAAAACAAGCCCGATTAAGAGCATCTTAGCTTGTAACGCTAGAAAAATTTAATTTTTTAGTAGAAATTAACGCCATCTAGCGTATACGTGGCACAGTGTGGAGAAATAAAATAATTTTAAAACGCTAAGTAGTTCTCTCACTCGACGCTGCATGGCGTGACTGTGCGATCTTGTCTGTGGTTCGAAGGTGAGATTAGCACAGCACTATTAGGCAGGATCTTCGAGAACCGTCAGACTATTGCTATAAAAGGACAAGTCACTTTGTCCGAGTTCTTTTTCGATCAACATCTCTCGAGCTGCAGTGAAAGTATTCTTACGCCTGAGTCAATTAAATAGTTCCTTGGTGTCTTGTGTCAAACCAGGGTAAGTGTTTCATAATTTATTCTCCACACTGTGTCCACAAACTATAACTAATTAGAAGCTAACATCTTATGTCTTATTGTGTGGGTCCTAATAACTGGTACATTATATGTATATCAGTTAGGGTGCGGAGAGTGACCTTTAGATCACGTTCACGATCCCGCAGTACCTTTCTGCGTGGACGCTGCCGGAAGCGAGGTGCTCTGGCTAAGCGATCCAAGAAAGAGTACTTGACTACGGTAGACCAAGAACACACCTGCATACACAACCTTGCTCGGATCCAGCAACCCCAGTTGCTGGGAAGCGATCCCGTGAACCTTTCATCGTCTTTTTGTTAAATTGGTGAAACCGTCATTGTTTCTAGTAATTTAATTTTAAACTAATTTTCTTTGATAACTTTCTCGTGTGTTCGGTATACCTACCGTCACACATGTAACCTTGTACCTGACCGCTAAATTATTATTTGTAAACTATTACAACAATTGTAACTGTGTTATTTGTATTGAATAAACACAACAGTCTTATATTGTAATTGTTTTCATTTATTGGTGTGAATCTCCCAGAGCGGTAAGTGGTGGCGCCCTGAGATCCTCCTCACAGAGTCTCCTGTTCACCGGTTGTCTACCGGTGGTGACGTGTCTAGAAGTGGTGCGACTCGGCCCCGTGTCTCTCAACCCATAGACCACCTTTTGGGGAGTGACGGGACTGGGCCTTTTTTTTATTGCTTAGATGGATGGACGAGCTCACAGGCCACCTGGTGTTAAGTAGTTACTGGAGCCCATAGACATCTACAACGTAAATGCGCCACCCACCTCGAGATATAAGTTCTAAGATCTCAGTATAGTTACAACGGCTACCCCACCCTTCGAACCGAAACGCATTACTGCTTCACGGCGGAAATAGGCGGGATGGTGGTACTTACCCGTGCGGACTTCCAAGACTTCCTACCACCAGTGACCAGCCTCATGTAACATCGGCATACCAGGGACATCCTTAGACACAGACACGTTATAAGCTGAAGCTGGAGAAATGCCACTAGGATTTAGAAGGAAGGAGCTTGTAATTTCATATGCTATAAACATACTGTCTCAACCTGAAAATCCAACATACTACATAGGTGGCACTGAAAATTTCGGGAATTAACGAAGTGACACAACATTACTATTTAAAAATGTATTTATTTGCTTTTCGAAGTATTCTCCGCGAAATTTGACACATTTTTCCATACGATGGAACCAATCATTGAAGCAACCATTCCATTCGGAAGTTGGGGTCTCCAAAATGGCCGTTTTGTAGGCGTCCGCAGCTTCTTCAGGTGATGAAAATCTCTGTCCACGCAATTTATTCTTTATTTTAGGGAAAGTATAGAAATCATTAGGGCTTAGGTCGGGGCTGTACGGCGGATGGTCTAATAATTCTATGTTTTCTTGCTCTAAAAACTCTTTTGTTCTGTGCGCGGTGTGAGAACTCGCATTGTCGTGATGGAGGATGATGCGGCGGTTGCAGTNAAAAGACCTCTGGAAACGCACTGTCGATGACCGCAGTGGCTCCAGGTAGTATGGATGAACTCTACTCCGGTGGCGGGCGGTGCGATGGTAAAAACGAGATGCCGGTATCATCTCGAACAATTCCTCAGAGCACTCCCCATGGAACATTCGGTACAAAATACAGAGGGAACCGAAGTCCCTCCGCAGACCCAAAGGTTCCAAACCTTTTACCTGCCGACCGATATTACGCAGCTACCGGCACGTCGCTTGCGTGCTACTGTCGCAGGAACCATCGAGGGGCCCGAGCTGGCGACAATGCCCGTGAGGCACCATCCTCACCATTCAGTAAGGTCCACGGATTGCCGGATCTAGATTTCCTGTAGACTGTGAGTTATTACCAAAACAAGATTATCAACATTAAAAACGGCTGCTGCTCGTCGGTGCCTGTCCACGCGAGCATCATGTTGCTTTTTACTCCATGGTACCAATTGATGAGCTCTACCTCGACCTAGTTCTCGACGAACTTCACGACTCCGAAACACCTCAGTCGTGACATCACTAATTAGAGTCCTCACCACAGGTGTGGTGGCGTCTGTTCCTACCAGAAGCTGCAGGGCGGATGTCTGTTGTCTTGCGTTTTATGATGTTCAGAATGAGCTGTAATCTCAAAAGTTGAATTGACCATTTTGCCAACATAGTCCCGAATTCACCTTCGGAAGTATGCAGTCAACCTCAGGAATTATCTACCTGTGTGACATTACGAGTCACTGGTGACTCAACTAGTGCCTGAACCCTATGAGGACTCGGCCTAACCTGACCTC